TACTCAGTACCCAAACCCAACGCGTGGTACGAGTGTCAGGACGTCTCGCCTGCTCATGCGTACGGGCCTGACTAAATCACTTCACAGTCAAGTCCCAGACCTACAGGATGACGATTATCTTGATGCTTCAGCCTGAGAACAGCAGTTACAGCGCCTGAGAACAGCAATTCATCAGAGCCGATGCGCCGATGGAATTTTTTACGCGCAGTTGTGCAACATAATGATACGCGCCGCCTCCGTCGTACATGTTATTTTCGGATGGTTTTGGATTTGTGACGTTTTTTACCCTCGTACATTACGTTTTTTTATATACATTTTGAACGCTAGAATATTTTACGCTTCTCATAACAGTCAAAGCAAAGGCTCTGCCTTCGTCATCAGCCATCAGGTGATCACATTGATTAGCCGACTAGCCGTAATCAGACTAGGAGTCAAGCTCCTACTTGATTTTGATCACATTTAGCAGCCAAATTTACTTGTTTGACATGTTTTTCCGAAACAGTTGGCCTCAAACTGACGGGACCCCACAATTATTTGGCTAAATGCACAAGCCCCTTGTATGTGCATGCGCAGCACGCCTGGTTTTCTAGAACTGTGCACAGTAAGATGTGTTCCCGTATAAAATATAAAATGCGTAAGACTCTTAAAATTTAGATGCCGGGATCCGAACAGTTTTGGAGAGGGCTCCAAAGCTCTAGGGGCCCCTGATGTTGTATGCCTGCTTCCCCTTGACGATATCCTGGATCCGTCACTGATTTTGATTCCTCCTGCACGCAATTTCGAGCACATTGCTAATCTCAGAGTTGTCGACGTCCCGCCTCCGAAACATTTAGTTTCTCCATCCCACACCTTTTACGTCTTTGACTTCAATCGCGTAACGAATCGGCAAACTAAATAATGGCATCAAACATGGTTTACTGCACTCGTATCTCTGAAATGGTATGGTAACACATTCGCATGGTTTGATGATTGCGGTTAGAACGATGCCGAGGGTACGACCTGCATCCAGGGAAGGCATTCCCAGGGATGCAACGAGCGGGTCTCAATCTTAACACGCGTCCGGGTGGCCGGTTAAATCGCTCGTGTGGGGGGGTTGATTTTGCCCCGCTGAGTTCCCAGGAACTAAGAGACCTAGAGATCCCAAATTCACAGTGCGTGTTGACCTGTACGTGAACACACTTCGGCCAAAGTTTGAGGCTCTTAGGTCGTGATGTTCGGGTCAGATAAGGTCAAACAAGGTCAACTTCCAGGTTGGTCTCCAAAGAGCCCCTAGAACCTAGATAAATGTTTCAAGCAAAATTCCCCATGCTCATTTAAGGTCAGTGATCTTGTTTGACCTTTTGAGGGTCATGGTGACCAAAATCATACGGGACGGCTTTGAGTTTTGCATTTGAATAAGCGCCAAATATTACGCTGTTCAGTGAGCTCCTGAAAACAAAGATGCTGACCCAGGTTATTTTAGGTCAGTGGTCTATTCTGACGTCGAAGAAGCCCATGGAGGATGTATAATGCGGTTTCTGTTATCAATAAATCCGAAATTATAACCAGAAAATTACGGTTTTTTACTCTGGGGCCCGTACAGCAAGCCCCAGAGTAACAAAATAGATTGGATTTGACCTTAGTCTGACCTTCATACCTGACCCTAGGTCAATGTGCTTGTTCATTCAAATGTTGTGTTGCCTAAGAAAGAAACCCAGCTATGTTTTTGGCTTCTTCTAACACTTCGTTGTTGGATCAGATTGAGCGATTCCCTAGAAATTGACCTAGCTGAAACCTTGACCTGATTTTGACCTGCCATAAGTCAGCGATCTTACAAGGTAAAATCTAAATTGTGAGTCTAAGCGCTTCGCTGTTAAATTATCTACATCTTTGCAAAATTTGGCGCGGCTACGTTGCGCCGTTCGGAAACCATTCTGGAAAAATCTCCGGGGGGGGGGTCAGTTTGAGCCCCACCCCAGCGCGTGTCAGAAATTCGGCAATCGAAATGGCACCCGCAAAACGTAATTCAAGATCAGGTTTAAGAAGAAAGAGCGTTGTCCGGCGAAGAGAGTGAATGTCATTCCCATCCGGGCGTAGATTACACCCGGCCACGATAAAAAGTCACCGATAACATCAGCCGAAATCCGGTCTAGGCAACCACAAGTCCGTTGCCATCTACAATTTCCACGATTATATATTTGTCACAATATACATGATGATGTATTGTATATTTACGACAGAGCAATCAAACTACATACGTTCAAAATGCAGTCAAGTCATGACGCAATTCTCTTGAATTCACAGGTGATCTTAACTCAGGGATGCAATGCAGACCTCTGTCGGGACCTTGACTCAGAGGCATAGTTTCGCTACATCAATATGTGGGGCTGGGCGATGAAGGACGACCAAAGTCACCTAAAAATACACTAAAAGGTTAGTTAATTCTCCAGCTGTTACGCTTCTTGATTTTAGCATAAAATTGATGGCGTAGGCAGCGATTACTGTCGGTTATATTATTGGTGTCAATGTTTCGGCATCATGCCACATGGCATCATCGACAGGGCGTACTCATTATTACGCAAGCACATTCACCGGCAAGCTAGACTACACCTTAAAGCAGTGTTAGGTCTCGTCGTAGGTGTTGTTAATCGCACCTAAGAACGTTCGCACAATTCAGCAAGGCCCTTATTGTTCCGCACAGTGGCGAGCCGTAATAGGTTCCCCGCAAGTGTCACGTGCAATTTATTAAGAATGTTTCAAGAATTTTTAAGCTAAGAATTTGGATTTGATAAATTTAAAAACAAAACATTTAAGGATTTTTTGAACTACCCGTGAAAAAGCCTTTGTTAAAAGGTTTTTGTTATGCTTCTAATATATCTCTTTCTGTCGTTATTGAAAACTGACGTCTGTATGGGCCGATGGATGATATGCTGAATTGTGTGAGTATCGTTACCGGCGATTAGCAATACATAAAACGAGACCTTCAGATGTTTCTTAAGAGCGTGACAGAAGTGTGTGTGCTATGAAATTACAAAAAGAAATGACAGTGCTGCAGGAATGACAACTTTCGTTATATATGTATATATATATATATATATGTATATATATATATATATATATATATATATATAGATAGATAGAGAGAGAGAGAGAGAGATATATATATATATATATATATATATATATATATATATAGAGAGAGAGAGAGAGAGAAGAGAGAGAGAGAGAGAGAGAGAGAGGAGAGAGAGAGAGAGAGAGAGAGGAGGGAGAGAGAGAGAGAGAGAGAGAGAGAGAGAGAGAGAGAGAGATATATATATATATATATATATATATATATATATATATAATATATATATACATGTGTGTGTGTGTGTGTGTGTGTGTGTGTGTGTGTGTGTGTGTGTGTGTGTGTGTGTGTGTGTGTGTGTGTGTGTGTGTGTGTGTGTGTGTGTGGTGTGTGTGTGTGTGTGTGTGTGTGTGTGTGTGTGTGTGTGTGTGTGTGTGTGTGTGTGTGTGTGTGTGTGTGTATACGTAGCAAATCCATGACTGCATGTATTTCACGCAATTTAGGTTTTACAATATGGAAAATTGGTGCGAATGACATTCTTGGTCGTCCATCAAAGGCTTCGAATAGTACGTTTATTTTGAATCGACACACCGAAAACGACACGCGTGCCATACGAAGCCTCTAAAAGACGACCGCAAGAGGTTCATACAATTTTTTCAGATTTCGGTTAGACGCTCTTTGTGACGTGGCACGGGTGAGGCCGTTATCGGTGTTATCCGACGCTGCAGGCTACATAAGTGTCCTGCTAAAGGTTACATACGCCACCGTTTAGTTGCGCACATCTGACAATTTGACGAGGGCCTGTCAACGCTGTTTTCCCAGGTACCGCAGCCCGCTCATTTTTGGGAGAAAGGGTGCTTTAAACCACTCTCGAAGGACAAAGGAAAATATACAACGCTCATGGGCTTGGAGACTCGGTAGGCGCGTGGCCTCGCTCGCCACAGGATTCATTTCCACCTTCATCCACACTTCTGTCCTCATCCACGCTACACCCTGCATCGCCCAGCATCGGTCTATCCAGGGGCCATCGGCCTATGTGCACTAGCCCAGGCACGAATGGGCTTGAATGCTGGCTGGTGGGAGACGCGCCAGCGAGCGCGCACACACTTCGAAGGGATGACTCTCAGCTGTTTGCAGTGATGATCCATGACCAACCACTCACCTTTATCCCATAGTACTGTTGTGTTTACTTGTGGCTGAAAAAAACTATTAATTCCGAGGAAAATTCGCATTTGCAGGATTCCGTTTGCATGCATACTTTTCGCACAGTAAAGCATAAGGCGCATGTAAATTTGGCTAGGCAATACACTGAATGCACGCACATCTTTTTGGCATAAGTAAAATATGAACATGAAGTGCAATCTGCGTAGAAGCTCTGTCTCCCCAAAATGCCACAGTTCTTGCCGAATTATTCCGCAACAGGATCATTGACTCGCCCACAAAAGGCATCTGTAAAACCCTGACGAGATGCTAAATCGGGCATCTATGCTTTCACCCAAGGTGAGTCACAGTTAGCCGTACTGTACCGCGACACAACCGAGATGTCATAACAATACATCCAAATCGTTAGGAGCATACAAAAGCGAGATTAACACACACAGCAAATCCATGAATGCCCATCGATTGTTGATTCAGCCAAAGTTAGGCTGATCTAGCAGCACCACATCTTAGCACGGCGCCGAATGGTAAAATAATGCCCACTTCGTCAGCTTCTACACTCAACACCGGCCACAAGACTTCTTGCAGGACAAAAGCATGTAGTCGGGGTTTTTACGACATTCGCCGCTATTGGCCCAGAATTTGCATGAAGTGTTGTCGTCTTTGCAGACAGTCGTCGATTTGCAGACATTGCAAGACTTTTTGCAGTATTCAAGCATGTAGAGAGGGTTTTTGCGGCACTCCTTCCGTTCGGACCAACCGCGGCACTTGCTGTTGAGGTCGACACAGTCCTCATCTGCGGCAACAGTCGTTCGGGTCAGCAAAGGGCGGGTCGCGTCTTTAGCAAATTAGTGGCGCAACGCACTCGGCAACATCGTAACAAACTACCCCGGTAACTGGGAGACGCTAGAGGCATGATTAGAAACATGATGCGATGCCCATGTAGGTGAGAAATGGTGCATCGCTAATATATGCAAAGCCAGTGGCATTTCGAAGTGTTTAAACTGCAGAGATACCTTTTTCGCCATGCCGTCGTTCCTTTTTAAGAACATGGTATGGCGATATGCCTCATAACAACACGCAGGCTGCCAGCAGAATGTGCCATGAGGGTATGCGATGCCACCACCCGGCCCGACTCTCACCCCCTTCCTAGAGCGGGCGCTTACCGGTGGTGCAGACTTTGCACGCCTTGCGGCAGTCGCGGTGCATGTAGGGCATGTTCTTTTTGCACTCGCCGCGGCGTGCCCACCACGTGCAGTACGGACTCTTGTCGGTGCAGTCGCCGGTCGGCTTGGGCGGCGGCGGCGGCGGCGGCGTGGTGCCGTCGCATTTGTACAGCTTGCGCAGCTTGCGCACGTCGACAGAGCTGAAGCCCTGCCGCTGACCCATGGTGACGCCCGTGTTGCGCCGATCGCTGATGGTCGGGCGTGAGCGGTCGCGAGCGAACGCGTACGGCCCGTAGTGCATGACAGAGCCGATGTCGTACGGCTCGCCCAGGCTCTGCACCTCGCCCCACGTGTACTTCTGGAAGTTAAACTCCATCATCGCTTGGATGTTGTCGTAGTGGATAGTCACGTGGTCGTCACGGTCCGGCCGACTCTGCTCGTGCCAGAAGCCGGCCGCATGCATGAACTCGTGCATGGCGATGCCCTTGAAAACACAGCCGTCGCCGAGCGACAGCTCCTGCATGCCGCCGCTGCGGCCCACCGAGCTGAAGCAGCCTGTCTTCTTCACGACAAACACGTAGTCGCCGCCGGTGGCGCCCGGCCTGATGGGGCGCATGCGCAGACACGTCTGCCGCTCGATCTCGGTGAAGGCGCTGGCGATGACGGCACGCTCGCGGCTGCTGAAGGACGGTGACAGCGCGTAGTTGATGACACCGCCCTTCCACAGCTTGCGCGGCTGAACGGCGGCGTTGTCTTCGTTGAGCGCAGTGAAGTCGCTCGGGTGGATGACGATGTCGCCCTCGAAGGCACTGGCCAGCTCGATGGGATCGCGCAGGCCGCGCGGCGGCTGTATAGCACGCACGCTCTGCGCGGCGGCGAAGTCGCTCGGCGTCAGCGGGTCCGTCAGCGGTGGCGGCTCGTCATCTGCCAGCTGGTCGGCGTCCAGCACGGCCACCGGTGGGCTCTTCCCGACTAACGCGTCCTCTGCGTCCTGCAGCCGCGGGCTCTGCTGGATGGCGATGAGGAGCGTGTTGAGGGGAATCGGCGCCACGGTCGCGTCCTCGTTCAATGTGAGGTTGACGTCCGCCTGCGCCACGATGCGACGAAGGGGGCAGACGAGCAGGAGCAGCGCGGCGGCGACGGTGTGGGGGCGGAGCGCCATCACCAACGTCTCCGGCGCCGCCCTTGAGCGCAGTCCAGACCGATCACCGCAGCTTTCCTCCGCGTGGGAGTCCTGTCCGGTCGCGACTCAGCCCGCTGGGTTAGCTGGGTTCAGGTGGGCTCACTCGCCTCCGGGTTCGGCCGGTCCGAACACGCTGGTCCCGTCCGACCTTCGTCTCCCCTTCAGGACAAGGTGACTTGATCGCGCCGACCACTCCTGACGCCAGCCGAGTCGTATTGCCGGTGGCTGTCGAACTCGTGAGCTTTTGGGCACGCAGCTCTCAAGTCAGTGTGCGACGACCTTATCTCGCTAGCCAGACCGCGCCCAGGCGTGGTCTGTCGCGACCTGCTAGGCGCCCGCAAGATGCAGCTGTGTCACTTCGACCTGGCCTGCTCCCTGGCTGAGCTCCGGGATCGTTCCGACCTCACCTGCCTCTCCTCTACCGGGCACTTCACGCTCTCCTCCAGCTGGTGGCGGTAGCGTGCGCTCCCGGTCAGGTCGGCGACACGACTGAGGCCGTCTGGTGGCGGATGGCCTCGTTCCGGTGCAATGACACGGCCCGGCGCCGGCGCCGGTGCACCCCGCGCCGAGGGCGGCACCAGAGCCGCCACCGGACTGGCCGCTCGCCTCCGCCAAAACTCGTCCCACCTGACGCTGCACGTGCTGACCGGCACCGGTCAGATGGGGTGCGCCGGCGGAGGGCACTGACACACGGCTCACGCCCCCCGGCCGTCATGACGGTGCAATGGCGGCGATTCATTCGGGCTCTGTGTGGGACTGTGTGGGAAGAGGCTCTGCCCGCGTGTAGCGGGCAACAGCGGCAGCCGTTTTGCCTCTGTGACCTGCATGACGTCACCAATTTGGCCATTTGCGGTTCCTTCCGGGTGCCAGCAGCTCTCAGCAGTTTATTTTAATGACGCAATCCGAGGCGCAAAATGCCGTCCTTCTTGCGCGCCCCCAACGCAGGGTGGAGAACACTCGACGACGTTACATATGTATGAACCCGTTCTGGAAAATCTTGTCCCGGAGCTGACACAATGCGCGGAAGTGAGTGCAGCGGTCAGTGGTACCCACATCTGAAACCGGTTCTGTGCTGGTTTCTGAGCGGAATTTTGCATTCCAAAGACCGCCGTGCAACAATGCCGCGCAGCGAATCATCTCCATAGTTCAGTGAATTCACATAAACAATGCATGCCACATGGCCATTTGTTGATGTTTTCTTACCAGCATGGGATTAACAACGTTGCGTTCACGCTTAATGCCAGTCCTGCATAATGTTTTTGCAAATAGGGCGTCGTCATAGAGATAACCATCTCCTAACCTTTCTCTGATCATCAAAAACGAGTCGCTTGGCAGCCATGTCTTCTGGTGATCTATGGAAAATCGCGTGCAAGTGCAGAATGTTGTGCAAGTGCGCGATCTCGTGCAAAGGCGCGATCTCCTGCAAGTGCGCGATCTTGTGCAAGTGCAGGATCTCGTGCAAGATAACATCACCTGTAGGTCAAACTAACGGCTTTACAAGATCCATTTATGAAGGTGTGCATTATGGGTGACAGGCATTCCGACGGACCAGGATCAGCGCAAAGGTCACACCACCTCATTTCCTCATTCTCCTTCGGGTTACAGAGAACCGGTGAGCGAACTCGGGATATCTTCGCAAACATCTGAACGTCCCCGCCGCGGGCACAAGTGCGAACGTCGCGGCTTGTAAGGCGTCTTCTCGGGCAGGAGAAGCAGCAGCTGTAGCGTGACAAAATGTGTGAGGAAGCTGAACAGACGAGACGAAGTTCTGGAAGCGTGAAATTCATGTTTGTCTGTGCGCTGAGTGCACACAGGCAGCGGACGTTCTGGAAGCCAAACCCATCAAAATCCGTTTGGGCTATATTTGGATTTTCTGGCCGGCTAGAGCTGCCTTCACCTGCCGCTTAATCCATCTGCTCCAATATTAAGTGATGACAGAATATTAAGTGATCAAAAATACCGAGATCTAAAGAATTATTGGTTATATAGCCCTAACACGGCAAGACTTAACCTAAATGTTTATGCGTGTGTTGCGTCTAAATGACTAACTGTGAGGCCACATTTTGATATTACCATTCTTAACCGTGTCATTTTGGCGTAGTGGTTCCCTGTGCTATGCTTGCTTTCTTGCTTCCTCGAAATTCCATCCAATTCTGCACGCTCCCAGATAAGAATATGATACAGATATTGTGTACGGATGGTTCGGGCGGGAGTGAGATAAGTTCACAGCACATGCCAAGCGGAGCCTGGTGGCTGTTCGTTGATCCTACCACCCAAAGAGATCCAGTTCATGGCACAATGTTACCTATAACCTTATGACTAGATAGGGCAGGAAAGTCATCGCCATCGTCATCGGAGCTTTACGGTGCATCCAACTGCTAAGGCTGTATGGCGTTTCCTGCCTCTCACCCCGGCAGGAGGGCCGTACACCGCCAGGAATCGAGCCCCGGTTTTCTGGTCTCCCAGACGTGCAGCTTCGCCACCACTTTGACTGTACCCTGAGGCTGCGAAAGGTTCCGTGGCGTACAGTACTTTGGCATGGCTGCACGAGCCGGGTTGGCCCGGAGTTGGCCAGTTGTCAGCAGATTTGTCTCCGTCAAGCGATCGAAGTTCAAACACGGCCGTACAGGCTCAGGTTGGAAACGTCTGGCCAGTTGCCAGCGGTCCCTTGTCTCGATCGCCGGAGAAGACGACGTTCCCGCCCTGGGGAGCGCAATCGGCGCCATTGTGTTGCGACAATCTTCCCCTTCGCGACGGAGACCGCGCGCACTCCGCGCACAGCAAGGCTGGCGCTGCACCGCAGCTCCTGTTCCCAGATTAGAGCCGCATGCACATATCGAACGCCCTGGTGCGGTCCAGAGTCGTATAAGAAATGAACTGTGTGTCACGCAAGTCTTATCTTACCTGGTGCATGCGGAGGTCAGTTCGCCGTGTGGTCCTTACCATTGAGTCCAGAAGTTCCGTCGGTTAGCGTCCACAGCGCATTATTCTTACTGCGGTACTGGCTCGAACATCTCTCTTCTCTGAGGCGCAGACAGCGGCCGGAACCCTACATCAATCGATATCAAAGCCTACGATCCACGTATCCTTAGGTTTTGCTAGCTGATCGCTTCCCCAGTATCTCTCACACGGTACTTCAACCGCGGCGTCGTTGTTGAGAAGTCAAGCAGTATGTCACCTCTCAAGAACAAAAAAAGGAGAAGAAAATAAGTGCTAAGTTTTCCTCGACCTCAAACGGCCGTTATGTCGTTGGTTTGCTTGTTGTTGATGTCACTGTCGTATGTGTCACATTGTGTCAACTTTAACGCGTCTCTTACGGTTCGTTGTTTTTTTACCGGGACTCAAAAACATAGATTATCAGAATGCGTTGTCGCCACCAAACCTTCATGTCGGCCAGCAACCATTATTTTATTAAAGTTTTGACAGTACGAAAGTTTTCAGTCTTTCAAACCAGAATTTCAGAAGTTCACAGCAGAATGACCAACTTTTAGGTTGATCACGTATGAAACTGATTTGAGCATGCTTGCGAAAACGATGGCACTCACGCCAGATCAAAAAAAAAATATTTCGGAAATGACGAAATTAAGAATGGTGGCGTCGGGTTGGTCTGAATAGCGTTGTGAAGTTAAAATCGAACATTAGAAAATAAACAATAACGAGAATATAGAATGCTCGTCGCCGTTTCACATATTTACGTCACATAATGGGGCCCATGCTGTCCTGTGGCTACGCCACTGGGTGGACAAAATGTTTCCCGACGGCCGAGCCTTTCTAGTTGTTGGCGTGCTCTGCAGTGCAAGCTGTACAGGTTTGAGATGACGCACGATGCTCCACAAGGAACACAAACACGTTTGTAAAAGCTCTTTCGAGCTATTTTGCGCAAAACGGCTATTCACGTATCTCTCCGTTTAAACTTTGCCTAAAGCCCTCATGTTCTGAATGGATGTTTCAACTCATCATTCCAAGAAAACGGCTTCCCGCTTTCAGTCACTGTCCCCTCAATTCTCGTGTGTGCCTCTCCATGCGCACGAGCGAGACATGAATAGGGGACCAGAGAAATGAAAAGTATCAGCCATTGGTACACTAGGTGTGAATCTCAACATAACGTTATCGTTATCATATTAATCTTGTATCAAATAATAATCGGCAGGTACCTAACGCTTCCTGTCACGGTCAACTCATTCATATGTTAGCCCAGGCTGCAAATGTTTGACTAGATTTACATATGACACACCTGGATTGGGAAAAAACAAATGAATGCAACATACGACAGTTTTTAAAAGTACCGGATGGGCCAGACTGACCCATGTTTCCTCCAACAGCGGCAAGTGTTTTGTCGCACAATCGTGACTTTGGTAGCAATCGGCTGCCAATTCAATGGCGATACACGATCAGCGAAAGCGGCATTCTTCGGTCACACCGGTCCAACCGCAGAACTTACGGCGAAAGCTTGACGTGCCGCAATGCTCGGGACACTTCATCCTGCACTCTGACGTTACCTGACTGTTAGTGAGGCGGCTGCCACCGGCTGCAGGCTATCCCAGTCGGAGACAAACGGCGAATGCCAAAAGCGGTTCTAACCCGCCCCGTCACGGGTATCTGCATCAGAGGGCGCGCGCTCCGACCAGAGAAGCTATTGGGATGAACATAGTTACATGCGAGATGTGACGATTTAAATCACAGCTCGGTGGTGATCATCCACCTGACTGTACCACAAAAAAGGTGTCGAGGATGTAAGTTAACGTATTTTGTGTGGTGTGTTCCAGAGCGAAAGAAATGTTTGAATGGTGTTGATCAACTCTTACAAAGAAATCTCACCATGAACAAAGCCTCGAAACGTCGAGTCTCCTTTTATAAAACAGTCATTGTTTTGTTTAACCACTGTCCTGGTATGCTGAAGGCTGATTTCTCAACAGCAAACTTCCGACTCATCACACATCATCGAAACACCACTATGTAAGGCTTTTCTTGCCTATGTCAACTTCCATCACGTGTTAAAGCGTTGGTCACATTTTTATTTAAAGCAGGCACTCTGAAGCGCCTTCGTTTATCACACTTTACCTTCTTCACCCTTCCAGTTACCAACATGTCTGCTGGGAAGTTCGTGAAAGTTAATTTTTACATTCACAAATGTGTGCATCGTAGCAACTTAATAAAAAAAGCTGTCCCTAGGCTTTGCTTTCCTGCTAATTACACGCAATTTTATTATTATGTATTTATTTTATTATTACAATTACAAAATACACCATTTTATTATTACAATTGCACACCATTCTCTGCTTTCACTAAAATCGGCCTCACACTGCCTTCAAAGGGAATGTCATTTTTTTGCAGAACCTTTTTGAAATCGATAAAATTCGGTACACAAAAGCTTTTTAGTGCTGCTTCGGGGACGCAAATTAAATTGACCTAAATTTGGGAAGAAATCAGGCTTTATGGCTCGGTTAGGTCAACCATAGGCAGATTAACAGAAAGGGCCCCAATGGAAGTGAAGAGTCCTTCACAAATGAGATCAAAGGGAAAGAACCCGAGATAAAAGAAGAAGGCTCCTGAGCAACGCGCGGGTCGGTGCCTTGCCTTATATGAGCCCTAGCAACAGCACAAGGCCCTCCGAGCAAGTGTAAAGAACCCGAGACCAATATTAAGTGCCCCTGAGCAGCTGAGTGCACCCCGGCATATGGGGCCCTGGAAGAAGCGTATAGAGCCTTTCGGGCAAATGGGAAGAATCCGTGGAGGAAAGCCTGGTCGACCATGAGTGCGCGGGCACGTAAGCAGATAGTGTCCAGCAGCAGCCTGGGCTCTACGAGAAAATGCAAAGACATCAAAGACAGTGTAGAAGACTCCTTAGCGCTTAGGCTGACCCACCGGGTGAACGTATAGGGCCCGGGGAACAGCGCAAGGCCTCTGGACAGCGTACCGAACCCCAAAATCTCGCTCAATCAACATCTTCCCTATCAGCGAAGAATCAACGTTGCGTGTTCATGGACTCTCCTATTTCCCCTAAATCTGTTCTTGATAGTCTGTAGGCCCAAAGACGTCCAACTTTTCGCGTTTTGTTTTATAAAACTGCGTCCGTTTGGATGGTTATGGGCCCCTTTGGAGCCCATGGGTTCTCTCGGGGCACAGGGGGTAAGGTCCCCACCCCTCCCCCTCTGTATCCGCCACCGGCCCGAGCAGCTAAATAGATGGGGCTTCGCCCAGAGCGTTGGGCCCTGTATTGAAATAGGAAGTATCCAAGACACAATGTGGAGGGCCCCCGAACAATCAAGTGTGCCCGAACAATGGATTACGCCAGAGCAGGTTAACAGATGGGATCCCCGAAAAGAGCATTTTTTTTGGATGGATCCATTTATTCAAATGCAAAAATATCCACGAAGCAATGTAGAGGGCTCCGAACAATGGATTACGCCAGAGCTGGTCAACAGACAGGGTCCTCGTCAAGAGCGTGGGGCCCTCCATCCAAATGGGAGGTACCCAAGACCCAATGTAGATGACCATTGAACGATTGAATGTGCCCGATCAGCTTATCAGAAAGGGCTCAGATAGGAGCGTAAGGCCCTCCATTTAAATAAGAGTACCCAAAACTCAGTACGGAAGGCCCCCGAAAAATGGAGTGCGCCGGAGATCAGCGTAGGGCCCTAAATTTAAACTCCAGAACCCAATATACAGGGCCTTCGAATGATCCAGCGTGGCCGAGGATGCGAACAGAGGGGACCCCGACAAGTACGCAGGGCCCTTTGTTCAAATAGATAGTACCCAAGACATTATGTGGAGCCCCCCCCCCCCCCCCCGAACGACTGAGTGTGCCCGAACAGCTTAACAGATAAAGCCCCCGACAAGACCATAAGGCTCTACATTCAAATACAAAATACATACGATTCTATGTAGAGGGCCTCTGAACGATCGAGTGCGCCAGAGCAGCTTTATCAATAGGACACTGGATAAGAGCGTAAGGCCCTTTATGAAAATAGGAAATACATAACACTCAATGAAGATGACCCCGAGCCGCCGAGTGTGCCCGAGTAGGTCAACAGATGGGTCCCCGACAAGAGTATAGGGCCCTAAGCAAGTAACAGAGAATTGGAAGGGCCTTAGATCAAGGTAGAGGGCCGATAAGCACATCGAGAGCATGCCGATAAGTGAACAGAGACCAACGTAAAGGGCCTCTGAGCAACCGAGAACATCCCGGCAGGTTAACGTATGGGGCCCCCGGCTATATCGTAGAGTCTTTCGGGCGAATGGTATGAATCCGGGGAAGGCCCCTGATTGACAAGAGCGCCCGGCACGGTAGCAGGAAGGGCCCAGCAACAGCGCAGGGTCCTTCGAGCAAATGAAAATAAATCAAGGGCAACGTGGGAGGCTCCCTAACGACCGGACTGACCCTCCATGTGAGCACATAGCTCCCCCGGAAACAGCATTGGGCCTCTGGACAGCGGGATGGGCCTTAAATTCTCCCAATCACCACCCTCTCATTCAGTGAAGAATTACCTCAACCTACTCATGGACCCTTCACTTTCGCTGTGCGACTGTTTTTAATTGCCTGGAAGTCCAAAGACGTCCTAATTTGTCTTCCTTTTTTTTTAGAAAAGTGCATTCTTTCGGTCGGCTATGGGCCCCTTTGAAGCTGAAGGGGGAGGGGGCCGTGACCTTGTGACCCTATCCCCTCTGGGCCCGTCCCTACCGCGCACACTGGAAACATGTAGTTGGATTATTGGCTGCATACATATCTAATCCGTATACATACATATATATATATATATATATATATATATATTATATATATATATATATATATATATATATATATGTAGTGTGTGTGTGTGTGTGTGTGTGTGTGTGTGTGTGTGTGTGTGTGTGTGTGTGTGTGTGTGTGTTTTATATGGGTGTATATATATTTACATGTATACGGCACTCGACCAAAGCAGGAAGGACACGCGGTGCGTTCATGAAAGTGGCAGAAATAAAGATTGCGTTGCGCCAATGCAACGCAACGATGTGTGACCGCGACTGGAGCACATATTTATGGGTAGCTGAACTCCAAGCACGCGCACCGCTAAGCGCTAAGTGCTGGTCTCGCACACTTGCGTGCGTATACTGATTGCGTGGCGCCAACCCATGCCATTTGCTTAAGTTGCGCACTGGGTGTTTCCACTCTCAGTGTTGCGCGCTGCGTGGAGCCCGTGGTACATACTGCACACAAGCATTGCTATCAAATTGGATATAGGAACACAACGCTGAATCTGAATGCAAAAACGGCGAGAACTCGACGGACAGCTGCGCTCGCGTCCTTGTTTCGACCATGAGCGTGTTGGGCGGGGAAATCCATGTTGAAGGTCGGAAGCGCCGCATATTACTCGAAACTGTCTGTGGGCCTAAAAGACATCGATTTTACTGCATAAAATTATGTTATCCCTTGGCTGCGCTATCAGGTAAGAACTAAGAATCAAGCTGGTTTTCGTTCAACGCAGGGATGTGTAGCGGCGGGGGGCTTTCAGAAGACGAGCTGGATTTACCAGCGGGTCGCGTCGAAGCCCCAGCAGAGGCAGAATTATAGGCAGCGGACAATGGACTTAGTGCTTCCATATGTAAATGTGTGTGCCGGACACAAGCGAGGTCACCAGGATCCTCGGGTGCAGCCGTGCAGCGGCCAGTGACGGAGAAAATATAATCGGACATGCGGTTTTCATCAGCCCAGGGACAATACAAGGTCGTAATTCGTAGTCCCAGGACCAGTCCATGTCGTAAGCATGGGCGTAACCATGCCCTAAATCCCCCTGGGTCTTATTCCTGTTTTGATATAATTGTATACGGCATAGACACAAAAGGTTCAATCTGCCCAAAATATGCAAGAGATCCGGGGGCCGGACACGACCGTCACCTGTGTTGGTTACGCCCATGGTGGTAGGTCGGCTTTTGAGAACGAGTGAGTGTCTGATTCATTATTGTTCCATGTCTTGTCCTTCCCGTCCATGGCGGGCAATCAAAATAACGTAGTACGAACGAATTAAATTGCAATTTAGCAATCGAAGAAGTAATCAAACGACGAGAAACGGACACGTTTCTTTCACGTTTCACGAGATGGTCACCGGATGAGATCTAAATCGTGCGGCGTAGCTGAGGACTTCATTAATTTAAGCAATCACTTGCCTCACATTATGCATTTCGTGCTGATTTATGATGTCATCAAACACCATATTATGACATATCACAAACGAACTTGTAATCATGAAGTGGAAAGACATTGCCAACAGGTCCTCGAGCTCTGCCACCTATCGTCACTTTATGAATTACTACTTAGCAGTTTGTCG